CAAAATTCGAATACATTCGAGAAAAAAAACAGTTGAGTTGTACGGTCACTTACTCTCAATAAATTTTATGTTCAGAGAAAGGAAAATGATAAATCAAATGCGATACAGTAGAAACACTAGAGACTTTCTCGTCTTTCAGAAAATTCTACCAAAAACGTTCTCCTCACAAATCGTTGTTTCCGAGCTTAGATTAATGTCACTTCAAGAAAGAATTGAAGTAGTAATAACGAATGAACAAAAGGGTTAGTGTTACGTGAAGGCTCGTACAAATCTATCAAAAAAGAGTGCAATTAACAAGCTTAGTAAATTAAAACAAAAAATTTTTATTTTCCTATAAAACAGTAAAAATATAAAATAGGACCTACGGTTTGTGAATACAGAACAAGATCTATCCTAGAATTGAAAAATATAAGTCCTATCACTAAACAGTTCAATCTGAATCCAGGATCGAATCTCGATGAAATTCCAATATGGAAGATGATGACGTCAGATGAGGTTTTTGTAATGTTGGCAACAATCCCTCGTTCAATCATAATTTGTAATGTTCTGCTTATAAATCCAGAATAATTTTCCACTGAATATCTTTTATAAATAAGAAACACTTGTGTAGTTTTCTAGAGAATGGATTATTAAATTCCAAAAATAGATGAACTTAAAAACAAGCTGGCATTTACAATCAAGAACACCTTGAGCTCTGAGGTGTAAGAACACGACTGCTTAGATTTCACTAAGACACAAGTATTGAACCTAGCTAAAAACATAATTTCGACACTTGTGCTGGGTCACATGATCAATTAATCCTCAAACCGCGCAATTAAAATGTTAATTGTCACGTACGCTAGAATTGCCCTATCGAAGAATCAAAATCTCACATTGTAAATTAAAAACGAAAGGCTTGTTTACAACTCAATTAACACATGGGCCGAACATGACCTGGGTAATAACCAATCACTTCCGCTTAGTGTTTACAAGACGTATGCGCCAAAGTGATCTAACAATAATGATAATGTAATACTTTTTCTGTTCTGAACAAACTAAATACTTTCTTAAAAATCTCAAATCCCGTGAAAATAATCATTACAATAAAATGTAAAGAAACAAAAATGAAAAATAAAATTAAAATTAACACACAAGCGATTTAATTGCATATTCGTAACATCAGGCTCTAGTACAGTAGTTACACATTGGTTATAGCATGCTTCTATATATGAGCTTTGGTGTCTTTTATATGTTTTGATTAATTTAGTGCCGTAATAATAATAAAAAATTCACTGTGCAGTATTCAAAGCATATGTATGTATGTATATATATATATATATATATATATATATATATATATATATATATATATATATATATATATATATATATATTGTTTTCATTCACCATATCAAATGAGTTCTTTCTCTGACTTGGTATGCAATGTGTAGGTTTTGTATTTATTACATGCGCGGCTCTTGTAAGCTCTCCGAAAATATTAAGCTATGCAGTTTAATTGTTTTTATGAAAGTCAATCAGATGTAAGTTAAGAATATCTATGACCGGACATAAGTAACAACACCTAAGTAATTCCAGTACCTCGGATGTGGGAGGTTGCGTGGTCGAACCCAGGACGAAACATACCAAAGACTTTAAAAATGGCACTAACAGCTGCTTCACTTGGCGCTCAGCATTAAGAGGTTAGTTTTAGGCCTAGTCGGCCTGGTGTCAGGATAATGTGATTAGGTGGGACATCATACCACATGTCTGCAGTATGTTGCCCCAGTGCTAGATATCACTAAAAACTGTCACACTGCAAACATCGTAGCGATATGACTGAAACATTGTTAAAGCTACGTACAAAATCTAAATCACACACTCACACACCAGGGCATCCAATATGGCAAAGAGGATGACTGAACAATTAAACTTAATGACAGATGGAAATATAAGTGGCCACGATAAAGATCTATTGTGAAAATAAATATGAATATTTTAGATTTCATATCTTTGGCAGGGAGGCGTTGTATACGTGTTAGGGCTTGCATGTAGCTCAGTATTTTGTTACATTTTGTTACAACTTATTAGGTAAAGTCGTCTTAAGGAATACTTCTCACTACAAGCAACAGTAATTGAAACTAAACTTAAATTTCCTACTCATATATTAAGTTTGGGTATGCCAATTTGCTGATTTTTCTTACTCTTGTAGGCATGATCATGTGACTCTAAGATATATTAATGTCTTCTGGTACTATCTACCATAGGCAGAAACAGATTATTTTATCTAGACTTCATGTTGAAGTCCTTGCACACAGCTCTGTTTCTTCGACTATCTTGTTGGATCAGTCATAAACCTGTTACACTAAATCATCTTAGGAGTACTATTCACCATAGAAAGAAGGATAAAGTGACCCATTTTCACTCATCGCTTATTACATACTGGTTTTAATAATTGTCTCCACTTCTTGGAAATTGTGGTATAAACATTCAACTTGTTAGGGATATCCACTTTGTTGGGGTTCTACATACTGATAGCAAATACTTCTTATTATACGTTATTGTATTATGAGTTATAACTTATTGTATTGAGCAGAAATAGTCGTTAATCCTTTTAAGGACTCACACGGATGAATAGTAGTTCACTTTTCATGCTTATTTGATTAGATCTGACAAGGCAGCCTCACGTTTCCGTGTAGACTGAAAGGTATCAATTTTGAATTCAGTTATGTCTAAATCATTGTTGCTTCATGAGATGTCTTGTCTGTCTCTACTTGTAAAGTTTATGTGTCAAATGGCGCTGATAACAGTAATCCACACACACAGCATCAAAAGCCGTTATGAAATAGTTTCTTTACTGGGTGTTTTCTCGCAGATTACGAATTTTTTAATGAGGTCGTTTGATTCATTTTCTGGAGGGATTGCATTCGTCAGTTTGAAAAATGTCCCGTATTTGCAAGTTGTTGTTTTTAGTTGCAATTTTCTTCACAGTTTACTTTTACAAATAAATACATAAATCGCAGCTATTCGAAGACGCTGCATTGATTGACCATGCACGTGTGCTGTAATATTATCCCTCTTTTTCACTTTTATACTTCATTTCTTTTGGAAATAATACAAGGATGATGTCAAAAGTTTATCTATAGTTAGATACTATCAAATATTGACAGTGATAATAAAGTAGATATAACCATCTACATTAAAGGAGATCCGAAACTACGTTAGTATCATATTCTATTCCAGACTCCAGGTTCAATGAAATCAAAGTACAACTACGGCTAAAAGATAAAACTTCTATGAGAAGAATCTTTGACCTTGTTTAGTTTTGGTAACTTCGAGGAACATTTTAACACATAAATCTGTTAATTAGCGCAATATATATATATATATATGTATATATATATATATATATATATATATATACATATATATATATATATATATATATATATATATATATATATATATATATATATATATATATATATATATATATGCCAATTCAAATGATTTTAGTTCTTCTCCCAAAGATTCGATCTTGTTCGAGGCTTTTTAAAAGTTTACATTTATTTTAAAATGTATAATGTTATATGTAGTTTGGATTTATAAATATTCATGTTGGTACATCATATTCATTTTTGTATATCTTAAAATATTCACGGTGGTTTCAAATCAAAGTACCCTCTGCAGCCTCTTTGTCCATGAGGCACACACTACGTTGAAAAAATCACGGCTGATAAATGCATAGACATTTAAAATAATTAACAAGAGTGTTACAATGCCTCTTTGCAACTTCTTAGAAATGAAGAACGATATGAAGATTCAAGTACATTGTACATAAAATAACATGTACTCTAAATGTACAGTTTGTTATATTAGGTAGTGATACAGGAGTTTAGCGACATTAGATACACACACATAATTATTAAAGCATGCATATGGACAAACATGGGCCATTACTTTTTATTTGAAAATAGTTTGGGGAATAAAATACCGAATATAGTGTCTTAAAGTGAAATATGAGTACTCAAGGACAGCAGAGTACTTACGACAAGAGCATATATTTTATTTCAGGGCGTTGATCCATCATTCTGATAAGCCTCAGACTATAGTGACTAGCAGACAAAAATAAATAAATACTGAATCTTTGTTAATTTAATGGTATTAATGATTTCGTAACATGCAGAAGTGACGTAGTGAAAAGCGAATGCAGTTGGAATTATCTATTTTCCGGCTTCAGATTATTTATATGAGACTATAAAATCAAATTCTTGCGTAACTTCCCCGACCGCCATCACATCATGGTAATGGAACTCACCCACCCACCCCTCGACTGCCCCTAGTATACGTCACGGTACTGCAATAATTCGTGACTGATTTCCCATTGATAAGCATTGTTAATGGGACAAATATATGAAACAAGGAACCGATAGGACACAGACACCATCTAAAAGATTGATGATGATACACTTCACTACATTTTTGAAGACGTTGAAGCAATTTTTCGATTGACCTTTACAGGAGTTCGTGATTAGAAAGCAATCTGTATTTTGGTTAGTAACAAGTCCTTATAATCTGTAGCATCATAACAGTAAGAAATTCTCACCCAATAGGAAAGAGTATATATATATATATATATATATATATATATATATATATATATATATATATATATATATATATATATATATATATATATATATATATATATATATATATATATATATATATATATATATATATATATATATATATATATATGCGGTCGTTCCAAGCACAGCTCCTGTTGATTATTTTAGTCATCGTCGTTGTTGTTGTTTCTGCTGATGCAGGTAGTATTGTTATTTTTGTTATTACAGAGAAGAACACCATCAACTGTAGTTAAAATCATAATTCAATCTTAACATGGATCGATTTTATTCCAGACCTTAGTGTTATGAACCTAGGTTTCAAATGCAACTGCATAAATGAAAGCAAAATTAATGAACTAAAGGAAAGCTGTTTTTCCTAGACTAATTTTACTAGATCATATGGTGGCCTAGTGATTAGAGCGTCTGCCTTGGATGCGGGAGGTCGTGGGTTCTATCTCCGGCCGAATCATAACGAAGACTTACAAAAATGGTACTAACAGCTGCCTTGATTGGAGCTCAGCATTAAGAAGTTAGTTTTAGGACTGGTCGGCCCTGTGTCAGAATAATCTGTCTGCGGCATGATGCTCCAGTGCTAGATATCACTATAAATTGTGATACTGCAGACATTGTACCGATATGACTGACATATTGTTGAAGCTACGTTAAAAATCCAAATCACATCACACATTGCTTGAAGACACTGTTCTTCGAGTCATATATATTTAAGTTGTCTAAAAGAAGTTCTTGAACAACAATTGATTTTTTCGTGCGGTGAGGAACCTCTTTGACATGCAAAATATTTGCATTCTGTGTTTTATATGACCATTAAGCTTTGCAAATTGAATAGTGTGCTGAATTTAAATCTTACTCCTAAGACCTCATCAGTAACTTAAGTTCACCAATTCAGTTCCTTATGAACTGAAAATGCACTTGACTTGAAAAGTTTCGACACACCTGATCTGTGCTATGTTTAGAAAAATACATTGCTTTGAAAATGCTTACAATTTTGTATTTTAAATATGGTTTGACTTATTTAAATAATTAACGAAAATCCAGGTTTTCCTCACTAGTTACGTTCCCTATTTACAAAAAAAAACTATTTAGCTTACGCATTTTAAACAAATCGTTTAATTACCGTCATTTCGATGTATGCTGATGGGTAAAAATTAGGTTATAGAGTAAGGATTTACTTACAATGAGCACTTTTCACAAGACTGCTAGATCCATATAGCCATATCACTTTCTGAACTTCAAATGTAAATTGGATAAAACGAGCCGATAATATTTTGACATTTATAAAACTTTTCATCGAACGCATGGGAGCAGACATTTTGATTAGAAGTCTGGTCTTGATAGTGAACAGTTCCTGTAATTACCACATGAAAAGAAATTTCAGCCACGGTTCACGAAAGTAGCATTCCAACATTTTCTCCACTGTATCTCTTTCCAAACAAACAACTTCACTTCTCTCTCTCTCTCTCTCTCTCTCTCTCTCTCTCTCTCTCTCTCTCTCTCTCTCTCTCTCTCTCTCTCTCTCTCTCTCTCTCTCTCTCTCTCTCTCTCTCTCTCTCTCTCTCTCTCTCTCTCTCTCTCTCAGATGTTCTACAAGCTTGACGGAAAGAATAAATATTGGTAATTATATATATATATATATATATATATATATATATATATATATATATATATATATATATATATATATATATATATATATATATATATATATATATATATATATATAATCTCACTGTCAGAAGCTGGAATTGTCTAATTTAGTAAATTTCATTTTTTCCCATTTTAATTTCCTGCTAAAATAAGTATTCTTTTGACTAGTTCACACTCAGATTTGAGCTCATGGGAGCAGGTACTTTGATACGTTGTCCACTATATTTAGTGCCCTGTTTCTGTAATTACCACACAAAAAGTAATTTCAGTCAAAATATGTCAATGTAGCTTAGTAATATTCCAACATTCTCTCGACTGTGTATGCTTCCAATGGATACGACATCCCTCTCTTACAAGTGTATGATAAGTGTAGGAGGGAACGAATAGTTCATTGGACAATAATCAAGGACAATGTTGAGATAACAAATGCATTCTATGGATATGAAACCTGGGTGTCCGGTTCAGTCATGGAAGTCTTAATGGACAAAGGCCAGGTTTTCCACGTTATGTAATGATCTGGTAAATAAAAAACTTTGCTCTTTGACCACTGGGCAACCAACGTATATATGATTATGTAAAATATCATGTCCATCAATGATTTGATTTATTAATTGCTAACGATTGAGAGCGTAAAAGTGAAATTAATGTTCTGATAAAAGGACCTGAAGTGAATGTTTTAAATGATGCTCGGACACATTTTCATCATTGTAACATATTACTATTATGGCTTATTTTCTTTGCCTATCTTTCAAGTTATATTAAGTTGAAATAACGTAATATATATATATATATATATATATATATATATATATATATATATATATATATATATATATATATATATATATATATCCAGTTTCATTGAGCCATTTTCCTTGCATTAACAGTTCCTAATTTTTATATCGTTTGGTGCTTGCAATTCTCTGATGTTAAGTGAAATTTTGCGCCTCAAAACATTATGTTCATGAGTATTTATAGTCTACATTACATTGTATGTGCTCATCAATCGATCATCGGAGAACAGATCATACTCGATTCATCGTTTGCAAAAGTGTGCAGGAATACTTCGGAAAGACATTGATCTAGGGTATAAAATCTTCCGTTTTGATTTTAACAAACATATTATTCATAGTCTAAATTCATAATAAAGTTTTCTAGATCATCTTGAAACGCTCCGACAAGGTTTCATTAGCCTTGATTGTCTTGTTGGCTATGGCGTGCTATGAAAAATGGATTGCCTCCTCTTTGGCATTTGATAAAACTCATCATATGTGTCATGCAACAAAGAGATCCGACTTGTTTCATTAGAATTTGATTCAGTAGAATTATGTATGATAAATTAATCGTGCACAGAGTTTGGGTATACTACAGTTATTACTCAAAAATGAAAGATGTCTCATCCTCAGAAACAGGAATATCAGTATTTCTTCGGCCTGAAAATATAGTTTAACCATTCTGTCAATGTAATCCATGCGTAATTCCATTCTAGTTTATTTTGTATTTCTTATTTAAATTTTTGCGAGATAAAATGAGCGCGCATTTTGTTTGCCATTTAATAAACAGATATAGTTACCCGAGTATTCACTTACGATTGTGCATAATACAGATTAGAATGCCAATGACACTCAAAATAGGATTTTAAAAAGATTATTAATTATGACAAATACGCCATTAATTATTAGAGGGGAGTGAAACAATGCATATCAAGCCTGGTGTATATTGTATACAGCTTTTTGAAGCGGCAGCTGTACGTACGATGCTCAATATCCGTATTAACATCTCTAGGTTTTACGTCATCGGTATTTTTTTATAAACATTCATGCCATAATTGTCCAGCGAACTGATAGTCCGTAACACTGTTATCTTGACTCATCCAACCGAGCCTCATTTACGTTTCGAAAATGGAGATTATAAAACAAAATTATTCGTTGAAAACTCTTCATCATCATGGGCGCCTGGTTACAGAATGGTCTAAAGCGCTCGCCTTTACCAAAAACTACCACCTCAATTCTGTACGCGTGGGTTCGAGTCTCGGACTCAGACATTATGCCAGTAACTTCCCATGGGATCTTGGTTCTTCTCGGATTTTTCCCGGGTCCTTCCTCCACTGGTTATAATGGTCGCCCTGTATAGCAAATTCTGTGCTGATAGTGGCATTAAACCCTAAATTTTAAACTTTATCATTGCATTTGAAATACAAATAAAATAAGACCGAACTACAATCTATGCAAACAAAACGGATCTCAGTATGCATGTGAAGCATTTCACATACAATATGTTGATGAGTTAGTAAATGTATTCGTTTGGTAATTACCATCAATTTCATTTTCTATTTATTTTTATATTTCATGCAAATATTTCAGGGTTAAAATACACCTATCCTCAATATTTATTAAAACATTTAATCAAGGACATGTAATTGTTGCAGTTTTCTTGAATGATTGTCCACATTGCAGATGAAGTAGACTCAGATACGATGAAAGGATTTTGTAGCATGACTAATTCGTCATTAAGGCCGAGTGGAGTGACGCTGGTGCATATCACTTACCGGGTAATTTATATACCCCCGAGTCTTCTGTGAGACGACTTTCAATCAACAATTTGTTTAATTTTACAAAAATACGAACCTACACATAAACAGCAAAGAACCAGTGCAAATAGCGATAATATATAATCCGAACTTCACAGATGCTTGTGTTCAAAAATATGTAGATTTTTGTCTCCATTACAAATAGAGAAACGGTCGTCTTTCCTTAGACATTGTTCTCAACGTAGTCCTAAGAAAACAGTTCAAGATTGTAAACATCTTAAGTCAGACTTCACATTTCACTTGCATGTCAGGACGGCCATCTTGAAAACGGCAGAACAAAAGTATGTTCATCCAATTCGGAATCTGTTCATATTCGCCATAAGGAGAATGCATCAAATACTTCCTTCTCAGAAAGACGTGGAGCTATTGATGCCAAAGGTTGAAGAATTTAAATGAAAATTGTTATGAAAAGGACACCTTGAGTTAATGTTTATATTCGTTTATATTAACTTCCTGTCTGTATAAGGCATTAGATACTTGCTAAAATTCAGTTTGATACCTTTAATCAAAGGTATATCTGCTATGATCACATTATCTGATAATATAGTTGTGAGACGGCATCGTATATATTTATTATATGCTAGTTTAGGTACCTTTCTTTTTTATTAAAGATTTCTTTTATTTTGACTATTTTACGCAGCAACACATATTGGTTAAACCCTTTTCTGAATAATAGGACACATAGATCTTACTCATTACGGATAGAAAATATGCCTGTTAAAAGTATAGAACACTTAAAACGACAGAAGTACAATTTTTAGAGAATCTTTATTCCGCGTATATGTTATTTATGTCATTTCAATAAATGATCTTTCAATACTGATGTCAAAATATGAATTCAGTTTTCTACTTGTGGTTTTAAACAAATACAATGTATTATACACATTCTCTGGGCAATGTAGACTTAATCAACATCGACAAGAAGTGGTCACGTGATTTTACAAAATGAATGTTAAAAATTGAATTTATCATAGCTTTTGAAGCCTAGTCCCGAATAAGTTCAGACTCTCAGATGCACATATATTACTAAATATCTGCCAATCGAAATTTTGTACATGAATACATTGCTTTCTGCTACGTAACATCTTAGGTACATACAATAAACGTATGTCAAGTGCACCACATAAAATGAATAAGCTGCTTAGTTTCAAGGACATATTCTAAAGATGTCTTTACCTTCTACCAGCATAGTTTAAACTTTTCAAATTAGTTTT